AGTGCACTCTTACCTCTCCAAATTTTTTTGACATTCTCCCTCAGCCTTCTTCCTCTATTTCCTTCTCTCAACCTTATACCCATCAATCTGGCTCTGCTGAAACATCTGCAGCTTAAAAAACAGAAAATGTTTTCATGCTCTTTCTAGCATTGGACCTTAACACATTCTTCTTATTCACCTGGCTAACTCCTACTTACATTTCAGTAGTCAAATCAGACATAATTTTTTTCAGAAAGTCTACTATGTGCACTTTTTATTTTATGTCGAGGATCATCATTTTTGTGTGAGTTGCTCAAGCCCCAATTCTGACAGGGCAGCACAAGAAAGACCAGATAACAACTGTGCATGTAGTGGGTTTGTTGCTGAGAGGGAACCCTGAGCTTGGGGAAACCCAAGTCTTTGATAATAGATGGCAAACATGCCTGCTTTTTGCTTCTGAGGGAGATACTATCTTTATTATAGTGGACAGAGAGTTTGCCTGCCCACTTGCTCCAAGAGACACGCCATCTCTTCTAGAGCTGTCTGCTAGATAAACCTCCTGGAAGAAATGGTCCTGAAAAAAGGGTAGTGTGTCTTGCTGACAAGACATACAGAAACGTGAGAGACTCCGGGAGAAGTGTCTCACAACAATATTTTGAAGACAGGGCCAGGATTGATGATTTATTTGTGAGGTATTAAGAAAAAAGGGAAATAAATGACTTCAAAATTGTAACTGGAAAAATGCAGTGTCAGTTTGCTGAGATGGAACCACTGTGAGAGCAGCCAGGCAAGATTTAGAAGTTTGGTTTTGGTCAGGCTAATTAATCAGCAGAATGATTACAACATAATGACATTTATTGGGTTTTTGCTATGTGCTGAGCATGGTGATAAGCCCACCACACATATATACTCGGCAAATATTACCTGAGCACCTTATACATGCTAGGAGTTGGTCTTCATTGTGTGGCTTGTGCTCTAATGAGGAAGTTCAGTGTGAGGGGGCGGGGAGTCATCTCCTTGAAAGGAGATTTCAACCTTGTGAGGTCGGTTTTATTTTTATTTCTCCCCACTTTAAAGATGAAGAAACAAAGACTTGCACAAATAATATGCCTGAGGTCACATTTAACAAGTGTTGGAGCCAAGATTCTGACTCAAGTCTGTTTAATCTAGAGCCTACGCTTTATTATTTATCTTTTGAATAAGAATGTATTCATGAATATTCAATATAATGTCTTTTAAGAAGCGTTAAATTAGCTGGTCCATAAATTTTCCTTAGAAATGCAAGACTGAAAGTTTAAAAAGAAGTAACCTAAAAATAATAGATCTGGCTGTTGCAGCAGCAAAGTTAACTGCTTTTTCAACTTAATATTGATTTAATATCATTCTGCTATTGGATTTTCTTATATTTCAGTACATAAATTACTTGGAAAATAGTTTCATTACATATCTTTATTATTCTTTTTCTTTTGTGGTATAACTGTTAAGATTATCTCATTGAAATAAATTTGAGTTGAGGGGAATTTCAAACTATTTGTCCTATTTAATGAAATATTAAAAAGACTTCTAATAGATGTTCCAGCTCTCAGAGCATATGAAGCACTGAAAATTATGGTCGTGTAATGAAAAGCCAATGCTTACAAGGAGCTATTTTTGGATCATTTGTCATAGGAAAAGCTTTGTGAAAAATATTTTCTAGGGCTATATACTGTGAAATTCTCAAATAATGTGATAGTGACCATAAGAAACATTTTATTTTAGGCTAAATGTAATATAAATAAGAGGGAAAAAATTGTGGAGAAGGGATTACTATTCACACATTTATTCAACCCCTCGTTCATTCTGTTTACATATTAATTATTACTACTTTCTGAAACTTGGCATTTGTAACACTCAATAAGCTCCTAATTGCATCTTTATTGTCCATCTTCCCTGCTAGATTGTACATTTCAAGAGGATGGGTACGATATCTCTCTTGGTCACACTGCATCCCTGGCACTTCAGTGTGGCAGATCTGCTTTATGCCCTGGTGCGTGGTGGTCAACTTAAATGTGCTTGCGTGTGCTTGGGAAGGTGAATTTTTTATTGAAGATAGTAACATTTGTTCTCTTTATTTCGTTTATTGACTCCTGAACAGTATTATAAGAAATTGAGCTTTGTTTCAAAAAATAAATTTTCCTCTTGTTTCAGTGTTTTAACTTTAAAAGATCACAATGGTTAACAAACCTTTTAACCCACAAGTAATATAGTATTTGCTCCTTATGTTTACATATGGATAGACTTGGCAATTTTCAGACATCCCTTTAAAACATCCCTAGTGCATTAGTATTGGTGGTCCATGGCTTGCAATGTGTTCACTTTTCTTTTCTATAGAAAACTAGTCCCATATTATTTTCTTATATTCTTTAAACTAGTGCAATATGTATTATGTATAAAGTTTGGGGCTTATAAAATGAACTCTTATAAGTAGAAAACTTAGTGAAATACTCTGCTTGTGACCCTAGGTCCTCCTGACTCTTCTTTTCACTAAAATTTGTTTTAATACAGCAGGCCATCTTGACCAATTAATATGCTATCAAATATGCTGTAGAGGATTTCAGTGAGGGTCTTACTATTGGGATGTTTTCTTGAAGACACATTCTTTCTGTGGGAAAACAATTTACAGTACTTGAGCATCAAAACTTTCATCCACTCCTATTACATTTTTTTAAAAAAGATTATTTGCAGGCTTAATGTGTAACAGACATATTCTCCATGGGTGATCTCATCCAGAGGACTGGCCCAACTGCCTACATGGTGGTAACTTCTTATCTCTCTGGGCCACTCTTACTGGAGCTGCAGATCCTGTTTCTACTGGGCTTCTTTACCTGGTCATTCTGCAGATACTTCAAATTTAATATGACAAACTCACTTTTTCATAAAAGATGAAACTAAATTTATCCCATAAAGATAAAGTGAAATCAATAAACCTGCTGTTTCTTTTTTAGTTCATTACTGGCAAAACCTAAAATCACCTGAGTCAGAAACCTAAATGATTTTCTCAAAGGCTAACCCTCCGTCTCTTTAAAATGGCCACTGAGTTCTATGAAATGTACTTCTAAATCTCTCTCAGATTCAGCCCCTTCTGTATGGCATAGTGGAAAGATTAATGATGTTGGAGTCAACCCCATCTAGGTTCAAGCATATACTAATTATGAGATAAATTAATTAACCTCAGCTAGTTTTTCCATTTACAGAACAAAAATAATTCTCTATTACATTGTTAAAGTTTAAATAAGATAATGTATTTATCACAGTGTCTGCCACTTTATTTTTAATAAACCTTAACTGCCATTCCCTCTCAACTCTATTCCCATTGCTTTAGTTTAGGCCATTATCATTTATTATTTGGAACATTGCAATAGTCTTTTTAACAAGTCTAATTGAATCTATTTTCCATACCATAGCCAAAGGGAACATCCTAAATGTTAAGTCTCATCATTTGCTTCTTGGCCTAAAATTCTTCATTGGCTCCCTGGGTGCTCTACATAAGGTCCAATACTGTTAGCATAACATACACTCATCCCCAGCCTGACCTTCCTGCCACACTCTAGGTTTATTCTTAAAAAACGCTGACTTAGTTTCTGGCATGGGATCACCTATTTGCCCGTTTTTTGTCTTTGTCCTTGTTCTTTTGCTTAGAATTTCTTTGTTGGTCTCAGAGGTGATCATTTATTCTGAAGACTCAGCTTCCTGGTTTCCAACTCTGAAAACCTTTCCTAAATCTGTCCCAGCAGTAAGGCACTTCCTCTCAGGTCAACAACTTTTTAAAATTTATTGACTCCTTATTATGTATGTACCAGACACTATAGTATATGCTGAAAATGGAGTTGTGAAGAAGACAGGTTTTCTGTCCTTCTAAAGCATCTAGAGATGGAGACTCACATTTAGATAATTATTCAGTTACAATTTTGTTGAATGCTATAAAGATGTACTGTCATGAGGATGAATAGCCCAATCTTGGAAGGGTGGTAAGGGCTAACTTCCCTTAGGAAGAGACATTGAATGATTTGATAGTTTCATTATACCCTTCTTAATTCCCTTTAAAGTACATAGTCAACTGCATTTGAATTGTTGAAATATGATTTTGATCAGCTAGAAGTTATAGGGGATCATGATTATTAATAACTCCTTTTAGCCATCACAAATACAAGATTCTGGTCATGATGTCCACAATTTAAATCTGTGCACCAGCACTAAGTACATAATCTTTTACTCCTAGCAATAACCCAGCTATTATTATCCTCAATTTATAGATGAGGAATGGAGGTTTAAAATGGTCAATGATTCTTCCAAAATCTGTTTGGAAATAGTTGAGTTGGCCCCAACCCAGGGGTTTCTTTTACCACACATTTGTCTACTTCTTTATTTTTTCATTTCCAGTATCTTCTAGCATCTGGCTCCTAGTAGGTGTTGCATGAGTAAGTACATGTGAAAGCCTTATGTTAAAGGCAGCATTATTTTTATACATGTCACCTTCAACAACGTACACTAGGATTTCCTCCCTTTAGGAGGAAGAGGCATTTCCAGATCCGGCTTCAGATTTGCACAAAGCCTAGTAAGTCCAAGTCATCTGTTCTTTCCCATCACACTCATTTTTTTGCACCAGATACCGGTAATTTCCCACACTCTTGTCAGGGAAGACCCCCCACCTTTTGTGACTGCCGGTCATTTGAGTCCTCCGTCCCCACGTTCCTGAACGGAGGCGGACCCCGGCGGAGTAGCAGGACGAAAGCTCCCTGGTACTCAAGGTTTCTACATTTGGGGCCCGCAGGCAGGAACACCAAAGGCACAGGCTCGCAGGTTCCCCTTAGCTTCTTCCAGCCTTTTCGCCCTTCCCGCATCGTTCCCTCGGCCTTTCGATGGCAAAGGTATCCCGGGGGAGAACTGAGCCGGCAGCCTCGGGCCCGGGAGGCTGGGGCGGGGCGTCGCGCCGCGCGCGCGCTGACGTCACGCCGGCGCAGGACCACGCCGGCCCTGCCCACACCCGCGCGAGTCCGGTTTCCGGCGGGAGCGCTGACCGCCGGCCAGGGAACGTGCGCTGTCCTCCGGTATCCGCCAAAATGCCTCACATGGAAAACGTGGTGCTTTGTCGCGAGTCTCAAGTGTCTACTCTGCAGTCCCTATTTGGAGAGGTTTGTGGTTAAATTATTTTCTCTTCGAAATCCTGGAGCAAACATTTCCGAGGTCTTGCAACGGGTTTCAGTATTTTTCTCGTGTTTGGTTTGAGGGTCACTAAACCGTCTTTTGCTTTGAGAAGGGGATGTCGTAGGTCTCCCCGACTCTTACGCCAAAGTAACTTCTGAGTAGTCCCTTTAAAAGAAAACTTCCCAGGAAGGACCGGCCAGCTCTACAGGATGTTGACCCAGTACATGTCTTACACAGGTCACACTTCTGAGGTGTTGCTGGCCCAGTGGTCACTGGGAGTTGCTTATTACCCGACCCCAGCTGAACAGGATTTTATATAGCAGGTGTGCTTGTGAGATAGGGACTGTGGGTGTCGTCAGAGTAGGGTGAGGGTCTCCGGAAAAAGCAAGGCAGGATATTTTCAGTCAGAGCAATGTAACTACGTGCAAGGAAACCCCCTACCAAAACTCTGTGTTAAACGTTAAGCTCTAAAGTCATTCTTCAGTGAGATCAGTTAATCATCCCTGGATAAAGAGAAGTTGCACATGTTTTTATTATGCTAATCATTTGTAATCATGTGTAAGATTCACTTTAGCATGCTAAAAGTCCCAGGCCTGTGTGCTGTCTTTTCTCCAGATCTGATGAAGTGATTTGCCAACTGGGCAACTAATTTATCATGCAGACCCAGCTGTAAACAACATAGTGAAAGGCAGGAAGGATTCCATCTTTATTAAGATTATTAAGATTGTATTTTAAATACCCTGGAAGTTAAAAATGTAAGATTCTTAACTTACTCCTCAGCAAATAGACAATACCTCAGCTCACCTTGGGGGCTGGGCAGGTGGCCTTTTGATATGCTCCCAGACCAAGATGCCAGTATCCCAAGGAGAAATCAAAGCAGGAAATTCCTTATGTTAAGTTAATTCTAAATATTCAGAGACCACTTAACAAGTCCACACCCCTAAGTCTTTTTTCACATTCCCAAAAATCCTCAACTGCCTATAAAACCTCTAGACAATGCACTACTGTGGGCTCTCTTGTCCTCTCCTGGCGTGAGCCAGGAGCTCTATCCTCTCACTGTATCTCTAGATAAAAGCCTCTCCCTGGCTCTTCTACCTTGACTTGTTTGCTAAGTTCATTCTCCAACTGTGCAAACAAGAATCCCGGCATCACTTGCACAGTGTTATTTAGTCAAATGTAATTTAGCACGTTTCAGTGAGGTAGTTGGTGTAAGTCAAGTGAGGTTACAGGTGGTGATTTTCAAGACCAGTGAGGGTCAAAGCAGGCTTCAGGTTTAAAACTTAAGCGTCTTTTCCAGAATTTTAAAAACCCCGAAGAGAGCTTGTCTAGACTTCTTGACTGGGCAGCTCAGGTGATGCCTAACAGGAGAGGTTTAAGTGGATGAACACCACTAGGCCGTCCTTTCCATAGGCAGGAGGGAGCATTCACCAGTTCAAAACTTCATCTTTTTTTTATTCTGGTGGCCTTTGGTGAGCCCTTTGCTTAAGACTAATTAGTTAGACATGGAATTAATCAGACTTGGATCCTTCAGGAGAGTAAATGAGAGTTTAAGGTCATACTCATTATCTGTGTGTGCATCCCCCCCACCCCATCTTCTTGTTTGCTTTCTTCAGTGTTTGAAGTATTTCTATCCAATGAAAAATACTGGATGTCAGCCTGAAGTATTAGTGGGAAAGTACCAGCCTTCTAAAGAGGCACATTAGTTAGGGAAATAAGAGGTCAGTAGCTGCATTCTAGTATTCTAGTTATAATAATGCTTTTAATTAGAGTTATCCTGTTATGACTGAAACATTCTCTTGGTTGTGCTTTATGTATTCCTTCTCTGAAGTTGGCAAACCCAGATCATTTCAAGCAGATGTGGTCCTCCTGAAAAAGAATATTGGTAAATAGAGATATTTAGTATTGAGTTGGTGTGGATCACAGAAGGGGTTTTGACCTTTGCTCTTACAGCAAACCATGTTTAATGATAACACTTTTCTACAAAGTGCTGTGCATGTAGGAGATGCGAAAAACTTTAAAAAACTTGTTCATATTTCTAAGCAGATTCATTTATTTGTTAAACAAATATTAACTGAGCACCTTCTCTTTGTCAGGCACTGTGCCAGGTCCTGGCTTATGCAGTTTACATGATGGAGGTTTATGGAGTTGAAAGGTTAAATAACAGTGCTAGAGTTCAATGCAATTCTGATTCTAGGTTGCAATAGAAAAGATGTTGTAAGGTGGAATATTATTACTAAGCACCAAGTAATGGATGCAGACAAATGTGGCTGAATTCCAGAAGAGGAGTTTCAGTGTGGCTTGGAAAAATTTCCTAAGGTTGTCTTGAGTTTCTCCTTAAAGGTGAAATACAGTATTTGCATAGCAGAGATTTTCAGAGAGCATGTGTTTAATTTTTGGGACAAAATTTTTCAGCCAGTTAACTTACAGAATTGTTACATATAAACTTAAAAAAAAAAGGTCCATCTGTCAAAACATCCATTTTTAGTCTATTTGTAGCATTTGGACTACTTTTGCCATAGGCATATGCCATTAGAAAGTTTTTTCCTATGTAAGTCCAAGTTCAGTTCCTAATTTTTCTTGCGAAAGGAAAGGTGTAACTTAGTGGCTTGAATGGAATAAATGTTTGTGGCTAATATTGTAGTACTTGATAATGATCAGAGACTCTACTTTCCCATGGAAATTGCATCATCCAATTTTCTTGTAATTATTTTTAAAGTGTATGTCTTCTCACTAGACTGTGAACTTCTCCAAAGCAGATTTTGTCCTTAACTGATATTTGTACTCTTCAGTACATCATGGTTTTCAGTGTTTGGTAGGTGTCTAAGAAATGCTCATTGAATGAGTGAAACATATTTGTAGTATTGATTAGATCAAGATAGGGGTATTTGATGATTTTTACTCTTTGCTGGGCAGCTGACTATTAATATACTCTTAGGAGGATCTTGGGAATATATACTTTGAAATACAAGCTATGTAGATTTTATCATTGTTTTGTTGGATGAGATGTATACATGTAGACCTGGGTAAATGCAGTATGTATAATTCAAAAGTATTCTGTAAGTTTTCCTAAGAACAGAAGACTCTTGAAATTCCTTCTAACCCTGTGATTATGCTTAGTTTCAAAGCTTTAGAATGTACAGTGACATTGAGTCTGTGGGGTTAGATTCTTTAAAGAGTTAAAAATACAGAATGGTCAAACTGTCCTTGAAGAATCTCTGAAATCACCTATAAATTTGAAAACACAGTATGTATATATAAACCTGTGCAATAATGAAAAGTATAAATACATATATACACTATATTTAATGTATAATAAAAACGCCAAATAGAATTTTTCAGAAATTTAAATTTCTTAACAGAGAAAGTGCTTAGAGTTGAATTCGGGTAACTTCAGTGTGTGATGATGAATCCACTGTATGCTCACTGTTCAAATAATTTGGTTTGAATATTTTACTTTATCCCATAAAACTACCTCATGAGTTGCTCATTGTTTATTTTCTGTTTTGTATGTACATACTGATACTTGTCTTTTCTCCCCTAGAGACATCATTTTAGCTTTCCATCGATTTTTATTTATGGACATACTGCCAGTGGAAAGACCTATGTAACACAAACTTTGTTGAAAACTTTAGAGGTAAGAATAACCTGTAAGTCATTGCTAGTTGATTTTTTTTACACTAGACTCCTACAAATGGAAGGAAACTGGGAGATTATTTAGTCCAGTTTACATTTCTCTGAAGGGGCATCTTCCACATAAAACATTTCTGACTACCTTTTGTTTGAATAATCCAAAGACTATAAACTTCAGAAAACATTGTTAGGTAACTTGAGCCTTGATTTGAGAAAGTTATTTTTTAAGTTGAGCCACTTTTCTTTTCTCTTTAATTGGCTGATACTATTTAGGGGAAAACACACATCATGATAAATTCTTTAAAAAATATTAAAATCTGTTTCTTTCCCATTATTGTAATCTCCACCTTTGCCTGGCCTTTCTTTCCACATTGCCTATCACAGTGAATGGTCGTATAGTTCACACAGATGTCTAAACTTGCTATTTTCTCCTTCCTCATGCTCACTTGTTCAATAAATTAAACTAGTAAACATGTTCTATTGAGTCTACATCATTGAAAGTCTTGGTTTCATCTACCTTTAGTGATTGCCACTGCTGCGATCTCAGTTTCGGTTGTTTCCATCTATTTCTGCCTAAGTGCAATCCATTCTTCCTCCTACAGCTAGTCCATGAAAATCTTATTTAAGATCATCAGGAAAACATTCAAGTGCTTTGCTTGACATATAAAACCCTTCATGAGCTGAGTTCAGTTTATCTTCCATAATATAGTGGCTAAGAGTTTGAGCTGTGGAGTCTGGTAGACACATGTTCTTCTTCATCCACCACTTAGTGTTTTCCCCATCAGGAAAGTTGGGATAATAGTGATAACATTTGGGATTGTGTGATAATAAAATGAGTCAATAAATAAAAACTGCTTTCTATAGTGCTTAGTACATAGTAAGCACTCAGTAAAAGTTAGCTGCTATTATTAATCATTATTGCCTTCCCTCTTTCATATCTTTAGCCAGGAATGGACAAGCTTTTTCTCAAGGGCCAGACAGTAAATATTTTAGGCTTGCACGCCATAAAGTTTCTCTTGTTCACTCAACTCTACTTTACTGTGAAGGCAGCCATTGACAGTATCAATCTGAATGGGCGTGGCTGTGTTGTAATACAACTTTATGTTACATGCATACTGAACTACTTAGAGTTCCTGCTCTCTCCTACTTTCGAGCTTGGCACATACTGCTCCCTCTGCTTAGAATGGTTTACCTGTACTCACTTGCTCTACCTTTCCTATCTATTCCTTGGCAATGCCTGCTTATTTTGTGATGTTTTCTTCTATTTACACTCTTTCTTGACTCCCTAGGCTGTTAGATGCCCCTTTGTTGTGCTACCTCAGTATTCCTCCGCTTAAATCTGTCGTAATATTTAACTTTTCAGCTGTGATATGTTTCCCTGGCTCAAGACTATGAGTTTTTTGAGATTATCCCCAGCACATACCGACTTGAAGATTTTACCCTTTGATCCTGATGATTACCTATGTGTTTTTAAAAATACAGGTGCCTGAGCATCTTACCAGATTCCAGAATGTGAATGTATCAGGTCTTGGCTCAGGTACTTGTATTTGAGAACTCCCTGTATGAAGTGTCCAAAAATATCTGTATTGAATAAAAGCATGAAAAACTGAATAAAGAAGTTCCATACTTAAGGGATATATTTCACTTTTTATCATATAATTTTTTGCTGTTACTTAATCATTGTAATAGATGATGAGTATCACTGCTTTTCGTAGAGGTACACACAGACACTTAGAATGTGCTGCCATTAAAGATCATGGAAAGCAGCAGGCAGGACATTTATTCTTAGTAGTATTGTGGACTCTAGTTATAAGGAATGGGGGTAAAGGAGGTCAGCAAACACTGGTGAAACTGTGCCAAGTAAGTATAATGTAGCCTTAAGTGCACTGTTACTCTAAGAAAAAAAAACTGCCTTCTGTGTGAGATTAATAGAAGGTTCCATTATTTGTGGCAGATGCTGTAAGTTGTCTTCCTCTGAAGTACTGCTTTTGGGATAATAATTTTGAGAACAGACTGTATTTGTGAGCAAGTCTTTTGTTTCCTTATTACTGGAATTCTGGAATTACCTCCATTTTGTTCTCTAAATGAAGAGCTAATTTTTAATCCTCCCAGGAGGAAAACTGTGGTGTCTAACCCTTAAAATTTTTTCTTTGATTAGGTTTGTTCATCATTGAGAGTATTATCTCAACATTATAAGTATAAAATGCCCAGTAAAAATTTTAACATTCAAATGTACTTGGGTTTCTTTATAGAATTCTTTAGAGGAAAATACAAGTTTACTTTGAATTCCTGGAGGAAAGAAATGGCAAACTCAAATAACCGAAGTGAGTTTAATGAAAGGGCTATTGCACACAGGTTGAAGAAATGTTAAGGGAACTAGTGAGATGGTGAAACACCGAGAGCGTTTTCCTCCCTTAGACCTAAATAGGCCAGAGGAAGGAGCTGTTACCAGAATCTAGCAAGAGCTGTAACCTTAGACGAGGGGCTGCCCAGCTGGAGCTGTGGCCTTTGGTAGAAGACTATAGCCACAGTGGAACTGCGGGTCACTGAGGGATGGGGTGGGAGTTACAGGAATAAATATTCATCATCTCTCTCTTACCAGTCTCCTTCAGGCTCCTGGTTTTTCTCATTGGTTGACTCAAACCAGGGCCAGAAAACAGAGTCTGGGCGATGTAGGCTGTAGTGGTCAGACTTCTGGGGCACAGAGCACATCAGTCAGGTATAGGTTTAAGTAGGACAATGTGGAATATCCAGCAGAGACGTTATTGTATATGTGTGTTTTCTATTCTATTTATATATTTTTTTGGTTTTTGTTTTCAGCTCCCACATGTCTTTGTGAATTGTGTTGAATGCTTTACCTTGAGTCTGCTTTTGGAACCAATTTTAAACAAGTTGAATCCTCTTAGTTCTTTAGAGGATGGATGCTCTACTCAAATAACCTGTGAAACATTTAATGACTTTGTTCGCTTGTTTAAGCAAGTAACTGAAACTGAAAATCTCAAGGATCAAACTGTATATATTGTAAGTAATTTAATCTCATTATATCTCTTATTTGAAAACTGATGTTTATCAGCTCAATTCCCATTTATTTGTTTTGAGTCTAATTATATACAGTGCACTATGCAAAGTGTTTTAGCAATAGAAAAAGTGTTTTAGATGTATCACTTATACAAAGGGAGCTTCAACTTCGTAGGCAAGTTTTTGTACATACTGTGTATGACTGCCTGCAGAATGTGGTAAGTGATGACTGTGAGATGCCAAGTAGTGATTTTAGGCACATCTGGTACAGCTTCATGGGATGATAGCATTGAGAGAGGCCTAAAAGAATAATTAGGCTATTATAGGAAGAAACTGAAGACGAGGAATTTCGGATGGTAAGAATTGTGTAAGCAGAGGCATGCAGAGGCGATTGAAGGCCATGGATGCCAAAAAGTCTAGTGGGAAATAAAATATAAAGGGAGAAAAAGAAGACTAGAGAGATAGTTGGGGCAGATGATGGAGTGTCTTGAGAACTGTACTAAAGTACTTTATTTCAGGTACTAGGCAGTGAGGAGATATTGAAGATTGTAGAGCAAAAAATATGCTTAAGGAAGGTTATTCTGAAGGCATGTTGAATAGGAGGATTGGAGAGGGGTAAAGACTGAAGGCAAAAGAATGATTTTGAGACTCTTATAGCTGTTTGCGTTAGAGGAAATTTGGTCCTGGGATAGACTTCAGGCATGGAAGAGAAAGCAAAGATCAGATTCTTCAGTTGTACATGGGTAGGTTTGTGGGGAAAGATGAATCATTTGATTTTTGATTGGCTAAGTTTGGTAGTTTTTAGATCAATGTGAAGCTGACTGGCAGACAAATGAAGATATGTAGTGTGTTTTACAGTAGTGGTTTTTAAAAGCATATTTTAGTTTCATGCGTTCATTTGTTGAGCAGATATTAGTTGAGCACTTTCTATATGCCAGGCCCTGTTCTAAATACTGGACATAGAACAGGGAGCAAAATACAGTCTTCTCTAGTACCTTTGGAGGAAGCATGGGCCTGGCAACACCTTGATCCTGGATTTCTAGCTTCCAGAACTGTGAGACATGCATTTCTGTTGTTTAAGCCACCCATTTGTGGTGCTTTGGCATGGCAGCCTTAGGAAATTAATACAACTATTCATGAGGCATTTGTAATCATTTACACAAAACATAATATTGGCTTAACCTGGGTAGCAGTGGATGTGTTAAGAGCTAACTGGTCTGGCTATATTTGAAGTTAGGGCTGACAGAATTTTCTGATAGATTGGTAATGGAAAAGGAAAGAAAGAAAGAAGTCAGGAATGACTCAAAAGTTTTTGTGCAGTTGAGAGGGTGGAGTTGTTATTATCTGATGGAGAAAACTCAGCAGGTGGGGTCCTGCTGCTGGGGAAGGAGTGATCAGGAATTTGGTTTGGGACATGTGAAGTTCAAGTAGAGATGATGAGTTGGCACTTGGACTAAAGTCTGAGGTCAAGAGAGGTCTGACGTGGAGACACTGTTTTGGAATTGTGAGCTTAGAGCTGTGAGACTGGATTAGGTCACCAAGAGAGTAAGTGAGTTAGAAAAATGATGACTCCAGTGCTGAGTCCTGTGGCAGTCCAGTGTTTATGGGGTGAGGAAGAAGAGATGAGGCGAGAGAAGAAATCAGTGATGTACAAAGAAAACTTGGAGAGTACTGGAAGTGTTCTGGAAGTCCTGTTAGGTGGCCTGTTTGTGGTCCTTTGGCTAGGGAGAACAGGCTTTTGGGGGGCTTGTTTGGTGTGTGTTTGTTAGCCTTTCTGTGTTTTTGGCTTCTTCAGCGCCACTATGGGATACGTGAGGCCAAAAGACAACTCTGGTAATTCACCCTCTGAGGTGAGTTGTTCTGGCCCTGAGGTCCCTACCTGGTCTGCTTTCTTCTTTTCTCCTTTCCACCTTTCTGAGCCCTGGTTGTTTTATATATAATATTCAAGATTCTTAGTTTTACTTAGAGGAAATAGGAAAAAGTACATCTACTCCATCTTCTCAGAAGTGGAAGTTCAGTTTTTTTTTTAATGCAAGTACCTAGTGAAGAATGCAATTGCTACTAGTACAGTTTCACACCATTATTTTTATTTGTGCTAAGGTGATTTCACTTTAACCTGTTGTTGGTTTTGCACCATCAGTCCAAAAGTCAACATGGTGAAAAAGGCAAATCATATTTTAGTTTCATTATGAAAATTGTTTTGACCATGCCGACCTCCTGAAAGGAGGACCACTTCCTCCCCACCTCTCCACAGGCCACACTTCAAAAACCATAAGACATAAGTCAGCTTTTCCCTGAGGTGATGTGGGAGACAAGATCACTGGTGGAAATGAATTTAAGGAACTCACAGTCGGCCATATCAGAAGATGTGGGCATTGAAATATCCAAAAAATATAAGAGTTATATTAGAGAAGCCATAGTCAGAAACTCTGATATTTAAAGAATGAGGAGGAGTGGCCGCAGGACATGTTGATGACTGCAGTAAGTAGCGCTTTAGTGCCGAGTATCTTTAGGGAGGAGGGGAAATGAGTATTCTGGAAACAGCCATGAGGAGTAAGTAGGGCCCTACTCATTTTTCAGTGGACCAAAGCAGGATTTTAGTAAGAGCTTGTTAGTTAACTTAGTGTTAAGGGTGGGAGAGTGTGCAGGTATTTAATGTAGAACTTTTTTGGAGTAAATCTATAGATTATTCAGGTATCTAGGATATGAATTAGTAAGCTTCAAAACTTAGGAGATATTCCAGAAAGATGACTGAGAGTGTCTTCTAGACCATAAACTAAGCTTTCAAATCAAGAGTCTTTTGGAATGCCTTTGTGTATATTATTAAGAAAAACATTTGGATGTGAATTAAATTTTTTATTTTTTATAATTAGTTATCTGATAATTGCATTTGAAGAAGGATCATTTACTAGAATACCATCAAATCATTAATTACAATGGGTTAGCTATATCACATCAGAAGAATAAACTTACTTCATAGCTTAGCTTTGTATTCTGCATTAAAATGGGCCTACAAATGGACCAATATGTTTGAATTAATCTGTGTCCTGGATGAGAGAGTTATTTAAATGGAGATTGATGGGAAGATTGCATAATGAGAATGCATAGAGAAACTAATTTTTATCTTTTTAGCAGTAAATAATTTTAGCTTTATTTTGTCCAAACTAATTAGGAGTGAAATATCTTAAGTTGATTACTCTCATAGATTGTTTCAAGCTGTCAATTAATAAAACAGATACAAAACAATTTAGACTCAGGGAAATAATATTGCATTCCTTGCATTTTAATTCTGTTCCTAATTTAAATGATTGTAATTTGTAATAAGATTCATTAATAAAGTGTAAATGTTTAAAAAAAACAAGCCAGCTTTCTTCAGTTCTGGGGAGAAAATGTACTAAATGAACCTAGAACATCTTCCCATAAAGGCAAGCTAGGAAACTAGCAACTACTACTAGGGTCATTTAAAAATGACACAGAAGCTCATGTATCAGAGCTATTAATGTTAAAATATCCTTACTACCCAAGGGCATAGTCCCTATCAGTGCAGTTCCTATTAAAATTCCAATGCTATTTTTCACAGAAGTAGAAAAAACAATTCAGAATTTGCATGGAATCACAAAAGTCTGAATAGCCAAAGCAATCCTGAGAAAGAACAAAGCTGGAAGCATTATACTTTCTGATTTCAAACTATACTACAAAGCTGTAGTAATCAAAACAGTATGCTATTGGCATTAAAATAGACACATAGATCAATGAAACAATAAACCCTTGTGTAATAAGGTCAACTACACACATACACAATGGAATATTACTAAGCCATGAGAAAATAAGGAAATCCTGTTTGTGACAACATAGATAGACCTTGAGGGCATTATGCTAAGTGAAATAAGTGAGATACAGAAAGACAAAAGCTATATGATTTCACTTTTATGTGGAATCTAAAAAAGCCAAACTCATAGAAACAAAGTCCACTAGTGGTTACTAGGGGCTGGGGAGTAGGGGCAATAGGGAGATGTTGGTCGAAAGAATATAAGCTTCCAGTTGTGAGTAAGTTCTAGGGAATCTAAGGTACAACATGGTGAGTATAGTTAATAATGCTGTACTGTATTAATATACTTGAAAGTTGTAAGTGTACAGAGTAGCTCTTAACTATTCTCACCACAAAAAGGAACTGATAATTATGTGAAGTGATGGAGGTGTTAGCTGGTGCTATGATGGTAATAATTGTAATACTTAAGTGTATATTACAGATAGTATAAATGTGTATATACACATATACATGCTTACACATATAGTATATGTAATATATGCAAAACATACATGTTAGTATAATTATGTATTATATGTAAATGTATATGTATTATGTATACCTTAAATTGGCACAGTGTTATATGTCAGTTATGGCTCAGTAAAGCTGGTGGCAGAGCAAGGGGGTGGGGAAAACATAGAAGTCAATTTGAAGGGTCCTGCACTGGCCAAAGATGGGACAGTTGACCTTCCTAAGAATAATGAATTCAATGGATGGAAGCACATTATATATGTTAAAATCTATGCATTTATAATGATACTGAACAAATACATAAAAACACAAAACGTCAACTCATTGGTTACCATGGGAGTGTAATTTACTTAGGGCATTGCAGTAGGCTTAGTAATGCCCCCTGCATGTATCAGGTCCTAATCCTTGAATCTGTAAATGTTACCTCATTTGGGAAAAGAGTTTTTGCAGGTGTGGTTAAGGATTTTGAGATTTACCAGGATTATCTGGGTAGGCCCAAAATGCAATCACAACTATCTATAGGAGAGAGGCAGAATGAGGTTTGACTATACCACACACCAGGTAACAGAAGCAGGGCAAGCAGAGTAAGTGAGAAGATGTAGATTGGAGCAATGCAGCCACCAATAGCTGGAATCCTTGAGGGATGGATCCTACCCTAGAGCTGCTGGAGGGATTGTGGCCCTGCTGATATGTTGATTTTGGCCAGGCAAAACTGATTTCAGAACTCTGGCTTCCAGAACTGTGAAAGAATAAATTTTTAGTCTGTTTTAAGCCACCAATTTTGTAATGTATTATAACAACCACTGAAATCTAATACAAGCACAAACTCACTCTGAAAATTGGTAATAAAGGGAAGCAATCAAGCATTTATCCTTCTTATCCTGTGTGAACTTTATTTCTGAATAGCCAAATGGTAGATGAATGAAGGTTCTTTCCAGAAAAATGCATATAAATGCAGACAGAATGATAGAAGATCATAGTTTTGCAAACCCTGGTGAAATAATGGATATAGGCAATGATTGTCAATGGATGCTGAAGTCACTAAGTGAAAGGCTGCTGGGGAATTTTATAATGAATGGGTTAGGCTGACAACACCTGAACCTGTCAATCAGTGTAACATCACAAAAAAGAGACAGCCAGGTATTGTATGCCTGCTGATGTAATTCAGTAATAAGAAATCTACTGTACTACTTGTGAAGTACTCCTGTCTAAAACTTGAACTTGAATCTGATCAAACTTCTGGATCTACTGACTGTTACAGGAAATATAGGGGCTATAGGAACATGTTAAATCACACTATAGAGATACAATTAGTCAATCTGTAATGGAAAATTCTGCATGACAGATGACTTGGTTTCTTTAACAAATAAATAACAGGGGAAAAAAAAAAAGGTCAGGGGAACTGTGTAATTTAAAATAGGCTTAGAAGACAAATAACCAAATCTAGTTAAGATGCAATTTATGGACCTTTTGGATCCTAAATGAAATAAGCAAACTCTCTAAGGAGATATTTGTAGGACAAGTAGAGATATTTGAATACTGGTTATTAGGTGATATTGTGGAATATTGATAAGTTTTTAAGGCATGATAGTAATACTGTGGTTATGTTTAAAAAAAATAGTCCTCACCTTTTAGAATTACATACTGACATATTTGTGGTTGGAATGATTTATCAGGGATTTGCTTTTAAATAATCCAGCTAAATGATGGAGGGGAGAAGTGGAGGGTGGTTAGAAGAAAAATACTGGCCATATGTTATGTTTGCTGGGTTAGGTGAAATTGCTGCAGGATGGTGGATTGTGGAATTCCTTGTTCTTGTCGTCTTGAAGGAAAAAATTCAATTGAGAGACCTGCAGGGGCTCAAAGCCAAAGGAAAGTAAGCTCCAGCAACAGAGGAAAGGCTGACCTGCGGGTGGGTAGCTGCTCACTGGGTTTTACATTGTGTCTTTTAATGGGGTCTTGTTTGATTTCCTCTTCCCATTTTGTCATTCTTACATCATCCTTTGGATTTGTCTTGCTTCCTTCCTTTTAGCCTCTTAGGGCAAGTTTGTGTTGTGATTTTCCTGAGTTCCAGAAACCCCTGGTGGGGCCAAAATGTAATGTAAATGACGTGATAATGATATGATAGCCTTAGGGTCATTAGTGACAAAAATCTTTAAGTGCTCTAAAATCGGGAAGGTCCTAGTGTCCTTATCTTTTGTTTATCAGTTTGTGTTGAACCGCAAAAGGGGTTGGTCTAAGGGAATCAGGGTTTCTGGGGACAGACTGGGTGGCCTGCCACCCTCCTTTCTCCCCTTCTGTTCCTGTCTGACTTCCTACTCTAGCAAAATACATATGAAAGTTCATGGTATTAATCTCTCTTCTTTTGTATGTATTTTAAAACCTGTGTAACAAAAAGTATCAGATTAGATAGTTTAGACAATGCTTTTAGTACCTTGATTTTTCATGAATGGGTGATCTCTTGAAGCAGAGGTTTTTTTTACTTTAACATTTTTTTATAGACGTTTGAAACGTTTAAAATGAATAGTGTGATGTATCTTAATGAGCCCATCACTCAGCTTCAATAATTATTAACAATTGGCCAGACTTGTATCATTTGCACTCCATTCATCATTTCCTGCATATCATGTTATCCATAAATATATATATATATACACACACTATATATTTTATACATGGTATATATGTACACTATATATTTCTAAAAGATAAGTACCTTTTAAAGTAACATAATCGCAGAGCATTATAATACTGAACAAAAATTTAACCATTCTTAACATGTTATCCAGTTAAAATAAGGTTTAACATGCAGTTACAAAGTTCAAGAATAGTTTTATATGATGAAATTCAGAATTTTCTTCTCTCCAGTCAGAAAGATCTCTAATTGTTGGTTCACAGTGGACATTTATCTTTTATCAAATGGAATAAAAAATACAGTTGTATTTCTTGTGTGTCCTTAGAGCATCTTATATCATCTTTTTGGTAGTATACCTATAAAATAAACCTTTTTAATGTAGCTATCACTCATTCTTTATTTAGAAATATGGGTTAAAATATGTTATAAGTAGTTCATTTTTTAACTTATTTGGACCTCCTTGAGATGTCTTCTACAATGTAAATACCACTTAAAAATTAATTCATAGGTTGCAACTTTTTAACATGTAAAGTTCTAAGTCTTCAATTATGTAGCATATTATTAAATGTTTTGTAAAGGGCTTTGTAAATTGATTTTGACACTTCATTTTTTTATAAGGTTCTAGATAAAGCAGAGTATCTACGAGATATGGAAGCAAATCTTTTGCCTGGGTTTCTTAGGTTACAAGAATTGGTAAGTAATACATGGTAGTCTTTTTCCCCTGTGGTCTGCTCAGTAGATTGTGTTGTCAAATTTTTTTCATTTTGCCAATCTGCTAGGTGAGAAATGATATTTTAATATAATTCCAATTTGTATATCGCTAGTCTGAGTGAAGTTTAGCTTTTTTTAAAAGTTAAAGCAGTTTGTGACTTGATAACATTTATCCCTCAATTATTTTAGGTTTTTATTTTTCATTGTGAGGTGATTAACACTGCTTTTTATTAAAAGATTTTAGGTGTTTGCTAGGTTAAGTGGTGGGGGGCTAGACTTTGAACTTTCTGCAAGTATTTAAAATTTTCTTTTTATTTCAGTAATTTTAAAAAAAGAGTGGTATGTCTGTTCTGCATCATCTGAGTTCTATTTCATGGCCACTCAGCATCAGAACCAGCATTGTATTTCAATTTACAGTTGTGTTGGCACCAAATGGTGGTAGTACTACTCTAATTGCCATGGTCTCATAAGAACAGGGGTGGACTTAATACACATGTGTCAGGTGAAAGCCAAATAATAAAATGGCAAAAACGGTTTTGCAGTAGTTTAAATTTAAATAAAGGAAATTAGTGAGAGAATGAGAAAATACAGTGTTCACTAATACCAGTTGGTACAGGAATGTTAAACTCAGAAGAACTGGCTTTTTCTTATTGGTACCATACTCACTAAGGAAGCAAAGATTTAGTTTGAGTTAAACAGTGCTATATACATCATATTCAGTTAATGTTAATTTAAATTTTATTGGTTTTGTAGTTTTATTTTTAACTTACAAGTTTATTTTGGATTTATGTCTTTATAAGTGCTTTAGACATAAATAGTTTTATGTCTGTTTTTAAGTATTAAGTAATATTATAATAAAAATTAAGTAAATATTTGGGAATATAGGGATTTACACCATTTGGAAATTATTGAAACTGCTCAATTTCCACCAGTGGAAATTAAAACCATTCTCAAATTTGAGAAACTACTGGAAGTTCAGAGAAGCTTTCCAAATGCCACTGAAATCATTGTGTGTGTATTGCCAACTCCTGAAATTTACTTTTTTTTTTTTTTTGAGAGGGCATCTCATATTTATTGATCAAATGGTTGTTAACAACAATAAAATTCAGTGTAGGGGGGTCAATGCTCAATGTACAATCATTAATCCATCTCAAGCCTAATTCTCGTCAGTCTCCAATCTTCTGAAGCATAACGAACAAGTTCTTACATGGTGAACGAATTCTTACAGAGTGAATAAATTCTTACATGGTGAACAGTACAAGGGCAGTCATCACAGAAACTTTCGGTTTTGATCATGCAATATGACCTATAAACCATCAGGTCAAATATGAATATTCATTTGATTTTTGTACTTGATTTATATGTTGATCCCACATTTCTCCTATTATTATTATTATTTTTATTTTTAATAAAATGCTGAAGTGGTAGGTAGATGCAAGATAAAGGTAGAAAACATAGTTTAGTGCTGTAAGAAGGCAAATGTAGATGATCAGATGATCAGGTGTGTGCCTATGGACTAAGTATTAATCCAGGCTAGACAAGGGCAGCAAGACATCCACGGATGCAGAAGATTTCTCTCAAAGCAGGGGGGGTGAGGTTCTGAGCCTCACCTCTGTTGATCCCCAAATTCTCACCTGATGGCCCCCCTGCGACTGTGCCTGTCTTAGGTTGTTCCTCCCTTGAGGAATCTTACCCGTCTCTGGCTAACCAGTCATCTTCCGGGGCCATACAGGGAAATGTAAAGTTGGTAAGTGAGAGAGAAGCCATATTGTTTGCAAAGGTTAGCTTTTTACTTCTTTGCAGATTTATGCCCTGTGGCTTCTATGCCCAGCACTTGTCTCGAGGTATCTTTACCACCTGGAGGAATTATGATACTCGGTAAATTCGATATGAGGCACGAATTCTATTTAAGGTTTGTAATTAGGAAGGAAGAAGAAAAGCTATAGATGTAGCATATGAAGGAAACTTGGGAGGATTGATTATTTCTTTGACATATCTTCTTGTATAGTACCTTAAGTATGTATAGGTTTTAAACTACTAACTAATTTGCACACACATATTAACATAATAGGAATACGGTGACATAAACAAAGCAAATCTATAATTACCAGCCATCTCCAGTGAAGCCAAGAAAACCATTTAGGCACCCTAGGCATTTGTGAAAATTTATCTATGATATGATGGATATTTTCCAACTGTACTTGAACCATCAGACAAATTAAAGCAGCCCATTTCTGGGATCTGTTCACATCCCATATGTTCTTTTAACCATAGATAGTCTATAGTCATGAGATTTTGGGGTGCTACAACTTGCACCCCTCCCAACTCCTGGTTGAGTTCCAACAGTACAGATCCAGTCAAATTCGTTGTCTCACTGTATGCACATGCCAGCCTAGACATCTCCCTCCTCCTTCTTATGGCAAGTCCAGGAGATGGTGGGCTGGATGCAGCCACAACCGCAGCATCGTCCGGATCCCTGTGGAGGCTTTTTGATGATCATCCCCCGGCACGAGTCCTCCAGAGAGTGCTGATGCCGGAAGCTCCTCCTCATATCGTATCTTAGTTCATTTTCTGGGTATCCAAGCTAGGCCTTGATCTTCTGCGTAGAAACAAACAGACCCTTTGCCCACACTTTGACATGCCCTCTATACCACTGTGCAGAACTCATTGGAGGTCAGCACACAGTAACTTTTTTTTTTTTTTTTTTTAATTAAGAGAAAGGAATATTATCAGAAAAGAGTACCTCCATAGCTGATCATCTGACACCCTTTAAGTGATCAACATTAAGGATATTTAAAGCATGCGTTGATCTTTGATTTACCAATAGTTTTATCCTGTTAAGGAGTAATCCCCCTTTTCTTTCTTTTTTTTTTTTTTTTTTTTTTTAAATTTTTAATCTACACTTACCTGAAGAATACTATGTTTACTATGCTCTCCCCTATATCAGGTCCCCCCTAACAACCACATTACGGTTACTGTCCATCAGCTTAGCAAAATGTTGTAGAGTCACTACTTGTCCTCTCTGTGTTGTGCAGCCCACCCTCCCCTTTCTCCCTCCCCCCATGCATGCTAATCTTAATACCCCCCTTCTTCTTCCCCCCCCTTATCCCTCCCTGCCCACCCATCCTCCCCAGTTCCTTTCCCTTTGGTACCTGTTAGTCCATTTTTGGGTTCTGTAATTCTGCTGCTGTTTTGTTCCTTCAGTTTTTCCTTTGTTCCTATACTCCTCAGATGAGTGAAATCATTTGGTATTTCTCTTTCTCCGCTTGGCTTATTTCACTGAGCATAATACTCTCCAGCTCCATCCATGTTGCTGCAAATGGTTGGATTTTTCCACTTCTTATGGCTGAGTAGTATTCCATTGTGTATATGTACCACATCTTCTTTATCCATTCATCTACAGATGGACATTTAGGTTGCTTCCAATTCTTGGCTATTGTAAATAGTGCTGCGATAAACATAGGAGTGCATCTGTCTTTCTCAAACTTGATTGCTGCGTTCTTAGGGTAAATTCCTAGGAGTGGAATTCCTGGGTCAAATGGTAGGTCTGTTTTGAGCATTTTGATGCACCTCCATACTGCTTTCCACAATGGTTGAACTAATTTACATTCCCACCAGCAGTGTAGGAGGGTTCCCCTTTCTCCACAGCCTCGCCAACATTTGTTGTTGTTTGTCTTTTGGATGGCAGCTATCCTTACTGGTGTGAGGTGATACCTCATTGTAGTTTTAATTTGCATTTCTCTGATAATTAGCGATGTGGAGCATCTTTTCATGTGTCTCTTGGCCATCTGTATTTCTTTTTTGGAGAACTGTCTGTTCAGTTCCTCTGCCCATTTTTTAATTGGGTTATTTGTTTTTTGTTTGTTGAGGCGTGTGAGCTCTTTATATATTCTGGACGTCAAGCCTTTATCAGATCTGTCATTTTCAAATATATTCTCCCATACTGTAGGGTTCCTTTTTGTTCTATTGATGGTGTCTTTCGCTGTACAGAAGCTTTTCAGCTTAATGTAGTCCCACTTGCTCATTTTTGCTGTTGTTTTCCTTGCCCGGGGAGATATGTTCAAGAAGAGATCACTCATGTTTATGTCTAAGAGGTTTTTGCCTATGTTTTTTTCCAAGAGTTTAATGGTTTCGTGACTTACATTCAGGTCTTTGATCCATTTTGAGTTTACCTTTGTATATGGGGTTAGACAATGGTCCAGTTTCATTCTCCTACATGTAGCTGTCCAGTTTTGCCAGCACCATCTGTTGAAGAGACTGTCATTTTGCCATTGTATGTCCATGGCTCCTTTATCAAATATTAATTGACCATATATGTTTGGGTTAATTTCTGGGGTCTCTAATCTGTTCCACTGGTCTGTGGCTCTGTTCTTGTGCCAGTACCAAATTGTCTTGATTACTATGGCTTTGTAGTAGAGCTTGAAGTTGGGGAGTGAGATCCCCCCTACTTTATTCTTCTTTTTCAGGATTGCTTTGGCTATTCGGGGTCTTTGGTGTTTCCATATGAATTTTTGAATTATTTGTTCCAATTCATTGAAGAATGTTGCTGGTAATTTGAGAGGGATTGCATCAAATTTGTATATTGCTTTCGGCAGGATGGCCATTTTGACGATATTAATTCTTCCTAGCCATGAGCATGGGATGAGTTTCCATTTATTAGTGTCCCCTTTAATTTCTCTTAAGAGTGACTTGTAGTTTTCAGAGTATAAGTCTTTCACTTCCTTGGTTAGGTTTATTCCTAGGTATTTTATTCTTTTTGATGCAATGGTGAATGGAATTGTTTTCCTGATTTCTCTTTCTATTGATTCGTTGTTAGTGTATAGGAAAGCTACAGATTTCTGTGTGTTGATTTTGTATCCTGCAACTTTGCTGTATTCCGATATCAGTTCTAGTAGTTTTGGAGTGGAGTCTTTAGGGTTTTTTATGTACAGTATCATATCATCTGCAAATAGTGACAGTTTAACTTCTTCTTTACCAATCTG